AAGGGCGCCGTCGGCCGGCGCGGGCGGGCCCGGGGCCCTCGACGGCCCGAAGCTCCCCGCCGCGACTCGGGGCCGGGCCCGGGCCGGGTCTGCGCGGTGCCCGCCTGCCCCGAGGAGGCCGTGCGTGCCGGGCGGCGTCCCCAGGCTCCGGGCGGTCGCGGCCCTGCCGCCGGCCGGCTGCGTGGCCGCCGCGGGTCGCCTGCTGCTCTGAGCCGCAGTCTGTGTCTGGAGGGGAGAGAGCCACGCGAGCCTGCCGGGTTGGGACGCGGGCCACCTAGCGCCGAGCTGGCCCCCGGTGTGGCCGGGCTCGGCCCCCGCGAGCTCCCGGTCTGGGCACGCGCGACGGCTTATTTTGCCGGAGGGCTGCGGCGCCGTCTCTGCTTCCGCGAGCTAGCTGGGAAGCCTCCGGAGCATGGCAACCGTGCAGGCCAATGTTTATATTCTCTGTAGCATCTGGCACAAAACTGTGCGTGTTAAGTGATCGATAAGGATTAAGACACATTTTTTGGATCTGATTGCAAGCCTTTGGGAAAGGATTGTTTCTTGCGTGCGTAAATCCCATCCGCCGCTAGGGGGCACGGTAAGACAAGATAAGCCGGCCACCCAAGCTTCTAGAATGTGGAAGAATCCTTGATTCAAGGTAACATTTACTGAAAAATGGCTTTTTTTTTTTTTTAACCGATCAGTAGAAAAACAACACAATCCAACTGATTAATCTAAAGAACGTGGAGTGCCAGTTCCTCTCTTTAAAATGTAGCTTTGGAATTCATAAATTTCAATCGGGCACATTACGGCAGAAAGATATTTATTTTAATATGTTCTAAATGTTCTGTGAGCTGTAAAATATGCTTATATTGGTTTTGAAAAATTTGCAGCTAGAGAAATTAAGTAAAATAAAACAGTGAGTCACACTTCCGCACCACTGCTCTGTTTTCTTTCCTGCTGATCCCACCTGCCCTTGCCTGGGCGCTGGCATGTTTTTTCCGTAGCTGAAATCCCAGCACGAACGCTCGGCTCAACGTGTTTGAACACCCACTGCACGTCAAGGCAGAGTCCAGGCTCAGATGCCTTTTTTGAAGGAAAAAGCACAAACGCAGCCTGCTTTAGCCAACATGCCAGCCCTTGCTGACTGCCCCCACATGTGGACACTGCTAGGCACTGAGAGGGAGTCCTGTCCTGCTTTCAGGGAGGCCCGGAGTTCAAAAACACAGAAGGTTTTCAGACGAGATGTCTGAATTCGGTGCTGTTTGCTTTACAAAATTATTTGCTGTAGGAAAACTTTCAGTAGCAAGTTTCCTTAAAATGCTTCTTCTTCTTCTTCTTTTTTTTTTTTTTTAACAAAGACCTTTCTTATTTTTGATCATGACTATAAAAGATGCTTATTGTGAACAACGTTGAAGATACAGAAAATATGAAGTGTGAAGGAGACAGAAATCCTTGCTAATCTTCGACTCCATGTTAACACCTCATTAACATGGAGGCCCTTCCTGGCTGGGGCCACCCCGCCATTCCTATATGTTTATATAACTGGGCTTTTTGCTTTTTGCATAGTATGTGCGGTTTTGAATCCCACTCCCACCCCCGTCTTTTGTAATGTTTGTAAGGGGAATTTTCTCTTCTTTTTTTTTTTTTGAGTTGGAGTCTTACTCTGTCGCCCAGGCTGGAGTGCCATGGCACACTCACGGCCACCCCAGCGTCGACCTGCTGGGCTCTGGCGATCCTTCCACCTCAGCTTTCCAAGTAGCTGAAGCTACAGGCGTGCACCACCATGCCTGGCTCATTTTTTATTTATTGTAGAGACGAGGTATTGCCAAGTTGCCTGGACTGTTCTTGAACCCGCAGGCTCAGGCAATCCACTCGCCTCAGCCTCCCAAAGTGCTGGGATTAGAGGCTGAGCCACCAAGCCTGGAATTTTCTACTGTATTAAAAACTTTCCCTAAACATATTTTTATGACTGTCTCCAATTTTAAACTCTGATTCATTATTTCTATGTTGTTTCCTATAATTTTGTTTTCTTTTTTCTT